ATGGTATCAGTTTTAATTTTCCTGATTTTGCTAATCATACTGGGGTTACATAAGAGAACTTTCTTTCTTGAAAATATATATTGAAGTATTTGGGGTAAAGGAGTTTAATGTCTGTAATTCATTCGCAAGTGGTTCAGGGGAGGAAAATACTTTATTAGCTGGGTGCACAGGCCCACATCTACAGCCCAGCTACTGAAGAGGCTTGCAGAGGGCCTGTGAGCCTAGGCATGAGGGACACACAACACCCACACTGCATCTTAGGGAAAAGGGGGACGGGGACTGAACTACTACAAAGTTATGAAGCAAAGACAGCAGATGCACAGAGTGATATGGCCAAAAAATGTATAAAGCAAATCTGTAATGAAGTTTAAAAGGTAGTAATATAAAATAGCATACACAAAGTAATTAACACAACTAAGAGTAAATACAGCAAACTGTCGACAGTTGATGAACTGAGTAAAAGGTACATGGAAAGTCTATTAATTTCATAACTCTTCTTTATGTACATAAAATTCCAAACAGAAAGTTTAAAAAAATACCTAAAACAAATGAACACCCATCCTGGAGCCCACCCACCAGTTCTTGTGGCCTCTGCGGAGAGGAATACAGAGGCAGTGAGTGACCGCCTGCTACCTGAGTGCAGGCACTAATCGTGCCACTGATTCAGCACTGGCCCCATGCAGTCCACACTCAGGACACAGCCACCGTCCTCCTCCCTATGAGGGTATCTCCAGAAGCCCCGAACCTGAGCAGTTAGTGACTCGGTGAATCCCTGTGACACTTTTAATGGGCTGTTGACTCTGACCAACCCTTGCCTTACATCAAATGCATCTTGGTAACCTGCTCAGCACAAAAGGATGGACCATGCTTTCTCTACCCAGTCTTCTTAAACTCCGGACACCTGCTTCCTGAGGGTGCCTACCCACCCAGCCTGCATTCTTGGCACCCCACTTCCTGAGCCACCATCTGCCTCCTGCTGGGGGACTGGGTGACCTGCAGTCTTTGGATCCCAGACATCCCTTCTTCCTGTAAATCCTAAGGGTAAGCACTGCTGCACAGATGAGAGGGGAGATGAGTGTGATATACACACAAATTTCTAAATTCAAAATGTGTATTATACTAAAAATGATCGAAATAGTGCTTTGTCCACTTACATTTAGTGAGTAGACTGTTCACATCTATCAAAGATAAACTAAGGGCTATAGCATGGAAATGAGTTATGTTTTAGGACAGTTTTCTGTTTATGAGAAATAAGAATATCTAAAATATTTTATTCACTAACAAGAAATTTTAAAGCAAAAAATATCAATGAAAACTTAATGTTCAGGAAACTCCACAGAAAAAGACATGGAAAAGAAGATACACTATTTAGAAGATACATATTCTAGCCAGGGATTTAGCTCAGTGGTTCCACCACCTTCCTCTCCAGCACAAGGACCCAAGTTTGATCCTCAGTACAAAAGAAAGAAACAAAGAAAGAAAGAAAGAATAACAGTGGGTTCATATTAAGAGAAACAGTTTAATTCTAGAAACAGTTCTAGAAACACTTTAATTTTCATTTCCCAACTGTCTCTTGCATATGGAAATAGGTGTGTGCCTATGTGCACACACAAGTATACACACACGCGCTACCCAAGAAACTTACTGATTTATCTTCTTAGTTTTAACAATTTGTTTACAGGGTTTCCCAAATTTTTATGGTAGGAATCATTATATCTTATTGATAAAGTTTCATCTCTTTATTCCCAATCCTCGTATTTTCTTTTTCGTGTCTTAATGGATATAGTAATCTTTATTGTTTCTCGTTTTAAAGGGAATACTTCCAACGTAACTCTAAATTTTGATAAATATTCTTGGCTTAAGGAAACTTCATCCTATATATAATTTCCTAAATTTTCCCATCAGTAATGAAAGGACACTGAATTTTATCAAGTGCTTTATCCATATCGAGATAACTGCATGTATTTTTTCTTCTTCCATTGTGTTGAAGTGGCAAAACAGGTTAACAGATAGATATTAAGATACCCTTATATACTATGAACTTGGACATATATATTTTTAATCCTTTGCTCAGATTCCATTTGCTAATATTTTATGAATACCTATGTTTGTAAGATTGACCTATACATTTCACTTTTTTCCTTGGTTTTAGTGTAAAGATTTACTCCTTTCATAAATGTTTTACAGGGCCCACTCTGCTTTCTCTGTTCTCTGAACCACCAGAAGATTCTACCTGTAAAATGTGCGTTTGATTTTTTTCTTTTGGTCTAATAAGATGAAAAGAGTCTTATGCAAATTATGAAAATGCCTTTAAAGGGAGAAAGCACAGGATTTTTATGCACTTCCTCTCTCTTCCAGACTGAATTTTAGATGTGATGGCTCCCACCACTGCACTCTGCCCTTTTGAAAAACAAAACACAGCTCTAACAGAGAATAGCAGAAGTGGTCCTGGGTGAACCTAAAGCCCCTTCGTAGGGTAGGATTGCTTCCTTTCAAGCTCTGTTCACATGAGAGAAGAAGAAATTACTAATACTTGAAGTTATTGGCTATTTCGTTGTTTGATACATCTGACCTTAATTAATGGTGCCTGGCTCCTTCCAGTATTTTGTCATTTCCTATGGCAGCTCAGCTTTCAAGGTATTTTATATGTAGAGACTACAGTGCTTTTGAATGAGGGTGCAGTCCTCCAAAAAACATATTACCTAGGCTTCTGCCAATTATGTGTGTAGCAGGTGTCACAGAATGAATCTACTATTTGTATGACGTTCTCATCATCAGGTCCTCACAGTTTGGGATCCTGAAGAGATAGGCGTCCTTGTTATTTATTTCTCCCTAGGTGGGGAAATCTTACCTAGTGCACGCTTCCACACAGCCCTTCATGGTCCTCAACTTGTGAAGAGCTTTCTGTTCTAATTCCTAAACACTTGTGATTAAGGCCTCACATCTGTTGAGAAGATGAGCAAAGGCCCTGCCCTCACAGTGAGCTGTGAAAGGACCAGCTGAGTGCTTGGGTTTTCAGTCTTCCTAAGTCTCTGGTGCTTAGTTTGTATTTACAGATTTTATTATATTCTATCCAACATTTGTAGGCATTTTCTAGGAAAGGTTATTGAAATTGTCAAATCTGGGCTTTGTCACATGTTATTGAAGTTCTTTAAACATCAGGAGGCCATGTGTCTAAATAAACAAAAGTAAACTATATAATGTCTCAAATCTGTATTAACTGAAATAAAGGAATTCTAGATTGTCAACTTTTTGTCTGAAGCATAAAAATGTATAATGAAAAAATGGACCCTACGTTATTTAGAATAACCAAATACTGGGAAAACCATAAATTTCCAATGATATGAAATATAAAAACAGGTAAATTATAGGACGTCCAAGTGATACTAAGTGGTAATGACAAATACGTATTTGTGACGAGACAGGGTCTCACTACATAGTCCAGGCTAGTCTTGAACTCATTATGTAGCCCAGGCTGACCTCAAACTCACATTGATCCTCCACCTCAGCCTCTCAAGTGCTGAGATTACAGTTATGCACCACTACATCTGGCTCAATTACAAATATGTTTATAAAATTTTTACTGACATGGTATTTCCCATAACATAGGAAAGGGTAATAAAGAAATGTGTGATCATACACATATTGTACATATTTTAAGAACCTTAATATAGATACATATTTCTCTATACACAGATATTCAGGAAAACAATAGAGATATGGGCTACAGAACGAGATGTTACAATATTTCAGTTTGCTTTATCAATTCTATTTGTCAAGTTTTTCTTTAATGAGCAAATACCATTTTCTTCATTAGAAAAACTAAATGCTACTTTTCAAAACAGCTAGAAGAGTATTACATTGTATATAAATCAATCTATGGTGAAACCACAGGAGAGCAACAGATTTGGAGCCAAGCATTTGGAGCTAGGGGTCTGGGGTATTGCACCTGTTTACTAACAGTATGCCTTAAGTATTTAATATTATATATAAATTCCCTCATTTTTAAAACACATCAACTCACTAAGCTTCCGTGGAGGAAAAACCTAAAGGATGCAGCATAAGTAAGCACACGTCCCAGTGGAGGCAACACAGAGCTGTGCTCCACCCTGCTCAATGGGAGCTGCTCTGAGTTCAGAAGCAGAGTGGAATTAGGGGAGACCAGGCAGCCACAGGGGCAGCCACACTGGCTCCACAGCCGCAGATCCCACACGGGCCTCCGCATTCCACTGGGAGAAGTCTCAGACCCACCTGAAACGTGGAAATAAAAATTCAAATACTTCAATTCAATTCAGACAACACTTCTCAATCTCTGAAAGTATACACCAAGCACAAGGTGGACACAGAGGAGAACTCTGTCTAGGAAGTTCAAAACCCTAAAAGCAGGGACTCGGGGTACAGGTACTGTCAATGTGCTACCACCATATCTTTTCATCAATGAAAACAAATAATATCAGACAGTAAACTATTCCTGTAAAATTATTTTTGACCTTTCCATTTATATAATAATAATAATCTTATCTGTTAACAGGGATGCATCCTTCTAAGGTGGCTGGGTAAGGCCCATCTGTCTTCTCCGACTAGTCTTACTACAGTTGTTCTGGCGAGTGTGTCTGGGATTTTATGACCAGGAGTGAACAATATGAGTAGCCAACAAGTTTTGTAAAATCAGCTAATCCTTTTCAACATGGCACCAGGGAGAGCTTGAGAATGCACAGAGCAATTAACATTATGTCTTAGTCCCACCCTCTCTACACCCAAATGTCCCTTTCTTTTCCTCGGCAAAAATGCAAACAAAAACTTACTTTAGATGCCAAAGACCTTTCCACTCTCCTCATAAAAGATGTGTCATTTTTTTGTATTTTAGTAGTTGACATCCAAATAAGTGTAGTTGATATCCAACTAAGTGTACACACACACACACACACACACACACACACACACACAGAGGTGAAGGAAGGAAAAAGTCTTTGCTGAGTGGGCACAAGTGACGCACTTACCTTGTCTCAGGGTTGTAGCCTAAGATGTAGAAAAACGAATCCACTCGGGCTTTGAATTCTCTAGCAGCGAATATATCAGAAAAATGGGAGATGTTACACTTCCCTCTGGAGGAAAAAAAAAGGCAAAAATACATTAGTAATGCCCTCAATTGTTTTGCAAACCAAAACATTAATGGAGGAATATAGGAGGAAGCACATAACTAAATCCATGGTGCCCACAGAATGTGGCTACCGATTCCATACTTGATCGCCGATTTGGTTTTTTTTGTGTCATGACTGCTTCAACAGTCACCACTGTAACTTAAAGTGCTTTGCTTCCACCATTTTGGTAATAAAGTGAAATTAATTAAAGCACAGAGATAAAATGGGTGCAGGATTGTGATAAAATGACATTAAGCAAACTGGAAATAAAAGGGGAGCAATAAAAACCATAGGGAAAATACACAAAAAATTCAGTCTAAATTAACCTTTGTACATCAGCAAAGCAAGTTGGACCCTTTCTTGTTGTCACATTATGACAGGCAGAAAATATAACTAGTAATGCTAAAGGGGGTAACATCACACATTTCTTCAGAATATAGCTTCTGAGTCAGGAGTGGTGGCGCACGCCTGTAATCCCAGCACTCCAGAGGCTGAGGCAGGAGGATAGCTGTGAGTTTGAGACCAACCTGGGCTACACAGTGAGTTCCAGGTCAGTCTCAACTATACAGTGAGATCCTGTCTCAAAAAAATAAAATAAAATAAAATGCAGAATATAGCTTCTGGCAGATCAATTTTTTATTAATTTAATTTAATTTTATTCTATTTTATGTTTTTGGTACTGGGGATTAAAGTCAGAACTTTGCGCTTGCAAGACAGGTGCAGTGCCACTGAGATAAATCCCCAGCCCTATTTCTCTTTAGCACACAAGAAATAAACTACTTGGAAATTAAAACTTGTTACATAAAAATCGGCTCAGTTCCCAAATTTTCAGGTAACATTGACTATACAAGCTAGAAATCACCTCCCTATAGAAATACCACAATAAAGAGCAGTAAAGTTCCTAGCAATAAAAACCCACCTTGTCGTCAAATACTCTACAATACTACACAGCTATGTAAGCAGTATTTCTGTGCACCAAGAACCCGGTGTAAATACTAGAAATGTTGCTATATGTAGCACAAATGCTGCAGGGTCTCCAACGCAGGCTTCCATCTCTCTCCGGGTATGAAGGGAACTCGCATCCAGTGGAAGCCCAGGGCTGCACCGAGGGGAGGAGGAGGAGAACCAAGGGTGCCCACCGTGCCAACAGCACACCCTGCATGCTACAGGATGCAGCCCCTGGAAAGGGCCCCAAGTAAGGGCCACAGTGTTTGAGAGAGAAACTATTTCTACCGAGACATTTTAAAAGCAAAGTCTTCCTTTCCCTCAAGGACTTTATAATCCAAACCTCAGTAATGGGCAGCAGCAAAGAGGTATCCAATTTTAAAATCAAATAAAAGTTATGCTAACTTATTAAAGCCCCTCTGGAAACAAGAGGAGACAAAAATTCAGGGTTACCAAGCACTTTAAACTTGGTTGATTCCACTTAGGGGAGTTGAATTTTAAATTGTATTTAATCTTAATGAAAGCAAATTTAAATAGTCATACAGGCCTAATAGCTAATAGACAATATTTCCATCACCAGAGAAAAATCCTACTGAAAACTTTACAGCACTAGGTACTGAGATTCAGTTCAAGGAAAGAAAATACAGAGTAGGTCTCAATTTCTCTAGCCCAGAACCCGAACTCCCAGACTGAACTGGAACTAAAAGCAGCTTCTGGAAAAGGCAAAGGAGATCAGTTTCACAGGTGAACAATGAACTCACTCTGAAACTAACTACTCATCCATTCTAGGTAACTCAGTCCCAGAAACCAAACCAAAGGAAGTAAGTTTCTTTGTCAATAACAATAGTAATACTGATGTCAGAAAGATGCTAAGACACAGTCTGTGAAACTCTGTACAGTACTTCATTACTTCTGTTAGTGTTCATTACCAAGGAAAGCGATTCCTATATGTTCTGTGTCATCTCACTCCAAAGGCTAATTATTTCATTAATTAAAGGTGCAGAAACCCTAGCGCTCCAAATTCTAAACACAGGAACAAGGCAGACATGGTCAGGGCCAGGCTCATCAGGTCAGCAGCACTGACTGGCTGGACTATTATGGCTCTACTCTGCACAGCCAGCAGGCACACACACAGTGACAATCCAGAGTGTATCAAAACACGGCAAATGTCTTTGGGGAGGGCAAAATAACTGGTTTAGTGAAAGCCAAAAACAGTAGGAATTGAAGTAGATCATCAGCACATTATCCTCATGCCGAACAAGTGAGATCTCTATCATCATGCCCTCTATCTGCTTAATGTTTCTAGTTATGAAGATGACTGGTTCTTATATGTTAACTTTATAATATGCTACTCACTTGAATTGTGTTCCACTGTCTGTCTGTCTTAGAGGAAGGGTCTGGGTATGCTGCCTAGGCTGCTCTTGAACTCTTGGGCTCCATTGATCCTCCGCCTCAACCTCCTTAGAAGCTGGACAGCTAGAGTGGACAAGAGACACGGACCACTGCCCCTGGCCCACTGAGCTCATTCATTCTTAGGGGCTTTGCTAGGTATGCTATTACATGCAGAGCAACAGTTCTGCTACCTCTTTATTCTTTCTTATGCCTCCAGTTGCACTGCACCTGCATTACAATGTGAAATATAGAAAAAAGAATGGATGCTATTGCCAGGTTCCTGATTGCGTGGAATCAGGAAAAGTGGAAAGGTCTTGCATTTTTTCTCTCTCATTAAATATATTAGTTTTAAAGATAATCAAAGAATGATCATAATCTTGGAGGCAATCATATGGTTTCTTTCCTAAGATTTATTGATTTTTTTTTTTTTTTTGTACCAGGGACCGAACTCGGGCCCTTGCACTTGTAAGGCAGGCAGCAGAACCACTGAGCTAAATCCCTGGCCCTTACTGATATGTTATATGATACAAATAGGGCCTACATCAACCTTGTAAACTGGGCAAGTGACACACACCTATAATCTCAGCATTTGAGAGGCTGAGGCAGAAGGACTACATTGAGTTCAAGGCCACCCTGAACTGCACAGTGATATCCTGTCCCAAAAACAAAAATCCTTGTATTCCTGGAATAAATAAATCCTAGTTGGTCATTACTTCTCAAGAGGAATGTAATTATGTACTGCAAACATGCACTAATAAAAATTTTAAAAACCTAATTGGTAAGACTATATATATATTGTTAATGCAGTCTGAGAATTAACAAAAAGGGGGATTAGATTAGCTGGCTCTAATGTTGCTTCCCATTAATTCTACTTCTCCATTTCCTTCTTTGTGTTTTTATCACTGCTGTTACTCATAATAATTTTATTTATAGTACCTTGGAAGACCCCAAATGTCCACAGGGAGAATAAACAAATTGTATGTCTGCATAAAAAAATACCATATAATCCAATAACTACCGATATACAGGACGTTAAGAATGCACCTCAAAAAAAATTTTTTGTTTTGTTTTTTTGTTTTTTGAGGCAGGGTCTCACTATGTAGTTGAGGCTGCCCTGGAACTCACTATGTAGCCCAGGCTAGTCTCGAATTCACAGCAATCCTCTTGCCTCAGCCTCCCAAGTGCTGGAATTACAGGCATGCACCACCACAGCTGGCTCACCTCAAAAATTTTTAATGTTGGATAAAAGATGCCAAATGCATAAAAAAGTACTCTGAATGATTTCATTTATATAAAGTTCTATAATGACCACAAGTGATCTACAGTGAAAGAAACCTAGGACTGGAATATAGATCAATGGTACAGCACTTCCTTAGCACACACAAGGCCCTATGTTCAAACCTCAGCATCACACAAAAAAATTTTTACTATAAAAGTACTGGAAGAAAATGAAGCAAAGAGAATCATTAGCATACAGATGGGGCTCTTCGGGCCAGCTGAGGACCCTGGAGCTCAGCACTCACAGGGAAAGTGAGTGTCATAGCTAGCTGTGCCTGCTGCCCACCACCTGAAGCACAGCACTGCAGTTTTCACAGCCTAGAGAGCAGCATGTACAAATGTGTGTACAGGCATAGGTACCATTCCAAGCACTTTTTGTTTTTTGCCAGAGTCCTCACCCTCACCATGTTCTCTCTCAAAGGCAGGACACTATTTGATAGTGTCTGTTGGAATGGATGTGGAAGAAGTGTGAAGCGAAAACTGCCAGCATTCCCACCTTGATGAAATATCTGGTCTTGGGAGTACCTAAGGTCCTGCCTTCTCCACCTCTAAGGCAATGCTTCCCTGTTAATAGAAATATACAACAAAAGCCTCATCTCTCAGAGTCCTATCGTTCACAAATAAAGGAGGCATCCTGAAAAGACTCATTCTAGTAATCCTTCAGTGTGGTACCCTGAAGGTTGTACATCCTGGGCACCATGTGAACAGTCCTCTGGGCAGTGGGGTATGCATGTGCTTGCGAAGAGGATCAAGGAGTAAGAAGAAACCCTCTTTTAGACAAGGAGAGGTCATGGATGGAAACTGTGGCACAGCAAGTCATTCCCTTGAGCTGGGTGTGGTGATGCCTGTAATCTCAGGACCTAGGAGGCTGAGGCATGAGGATTTCTGTGAGTTCAAGGTCAGTGGGAACTACACAGTGAGATCCTGTCTCCAAAAACAAATTGAGAAATAAAAAATAAATTAATTCCCTGAAACAATCAGTAACTACAGGAGTCTTCTACCCCAAGACATAGGCAACCCCCAAAGACACCCATAAAGAGGTACAGCAATACACAGTGTTTGTATTAGCATTCTGTTTAGAGCTCCTATTGATGGTTGTTTTTTGTTTTTTTTTTTTAACCTGACTATAAAAACCAAGAAACAAACTGAGAATCACTGTTTTGATAATTGTAGGTCACTGAATTATAAGTTTAGGATTTTTAAAATTTTATTGTTTCTTCTTCCTTCCTGCGTGTTATTTCAATGTTTTTCATAATTTTACCTTGATTTATTTCTAGTGTTTTCAGCTTATTACTTTGCAAAGTTTTCACATTTGTTCTAAGTACACGTCACACATGCACCCCTTTCTT